CAAACATTATCACTGCTTTCCCAAGTTCGGGATGAAATGTGCCCACTCAGCACTTGAGCTGCTGACCTTGGCTAGGCCTGTCTGTGCCAAACCTCCTCCCTCTCCCCACCCCCTTAAGGATTCTTCATGCCTTTTTCCTCAAGAAAAATGCCTGTGCAATTACAGTGTTTTGACTCTTTGAAATTGATCACACCACTTTACTAAAATAACCAAGTTTATGTTACTTAAGCACCAGGGACACACACAGCTTGAAGAGATCTAGTAATCTACTGGTACAAAGTGACACCAATTTGACTACTACACTTAGTATTTCTTGGAAAAATTGAGCATTCATGACTAGTCATTTTCTGTAACACACCTTTAACTTCTGTAGCAGGTATGAATTGATTCATTTAACTGGACATGCTGCCAAGGAACACCAGACAACTCAAGCACATAGAAGTGAAGTCTCTGGAATGGCAACTACAACCTAGTTCAAGTATGTCAGAAGGTAAATTTCAAGACTCTTAACTGATGCAAGATAGATTTAATATGCAATTTTTAAACTATCCTCCTATGAATAATGTTGTACATACATCACATTTAGCAAAATACTAACAAAATTAATACCAACAAAAATCCATTATAATTGATCAGTGTACTGGTTAAATTTTAACTGTGACTTTTGTATGAGTATGCTCTACTTAAATGGAAGTACAAAGCAACTGATAACAAAAAGCTACATGAAATTAGACTAACTGAACATCCATCCCCTGCTTCAGATTGACTTAGAAGCACCACAGTCAAGCACTCAAAGCAAGATTAAAATGCTCCCTTATCTATTGGAGTACCATTTTCATCTACGCAATGCAGTTTTAAGAGCCATTGAATTTTCAGGAAACCAGATCTGCTCAATACTAACTGCATGTGAATTTTGCCAAGTGTCTCAGGATGGAGACAATTTCTGTTTTTCATGTTCTAGTTCACATTATTTGATCATGGCTCTTCTAGTTTTACATTTCTCTAACAGTGCTCTTAACTCAGTGACTCACTTATCACAACCAAGCAGCGAAGCCTACAAAAACTGCAATTCTGAAAGAGCAGTTTAGAACAAAGGAGCTAATGAACCCTGAAACTAGACATAATCCTATATTGCAACAATAGGTAGTATTTAACTGCAGAAGCTTAACAGGAAACATAGGACACCCACTGGAGAAGCATCTTTATTTACACAAGAATAGACATGAAGTGAGAGGCAAACCCTGCAGCCACTGTATGATCTACCATTGACTACATTACTTGAGACAGCAAATACTTTCATAAATTGAAGATTACTCAACATGATGACTAGGATGAATATTCAAGACCATTTTTGCTCAAAGCCTCTCAAGTACAGTTAGTGCTTTTCTTTCTTATTTCAACTAGAATCCATAAAAATAGCCTGCTGTTCTGTTTTATGAGATAGGCCACACTTCTGAAAGGCAGACTGTTTATTAGCAACTCAAGAAATGAAATTGCCTTTATGAATGTAATTTTTTTCAGCTCAGTATGTTGATTTACTAGGCTACACATTGTACAGCAAGTTACTTAGACAGCTGAAGAAACTCACAGAAGGCATCTAACTTACAAGCACACTGACTGTAGTTAGGAAGCAAGCCTTTCACAGCAAATTGCTAGCAAAGTGAGAGAATCAGGCTCATTCCCCCCAGTCATTTTAGGGTGCATAAATGCAAACTGTCCCTCCCTTTAAAGCAAGTGCCTGTATGATCTCTTAAGTTCTCATGCTCCACTCCATCTTCCATGATGCAGATGACAACATGTAGTATAAAGCACTTCCACCACTTGTAACAAGTTTAAGTCAAGGAACTCTGATGTTTTGTCATTACAAATACATCATCACCTTTTAACAGCTCAAGTCTGAGGAAATGAGGGAAAAACTTCACTAGGGACAAACTTCTAGGAAGCAAAGTATTTTGAGTATTTAATTATGACATTTCAAGCCTGTACAATGCAACACCATTAATCTGCTTTGTGATGTTTTTGCAGATTTGAGAAAGAGGCAGATAATTGTGCCACTTGATTAAAAAAACATGCATGTGATATGGGGAAAGTTCAAAGCATCAGGCAGTTAAAAAGCACACTCACTGATAAAGCACATTAGACCACAAGCCAAAC